GTTCACCATCCAAGAACTAAACATATCCGAATTTTTGGCAATAGAGTCGACTTTTGGTGAGAATAAAGCATTTTCTGAACTAGAATGGGATAAGCAACTTCCTGATAGCAAAAACCCCGTAAGGGTTTGGGGGCCTGAGCTCAGGGCCACCCTGTATGCCCAAGCACTCCAAAGAGCCAAAAACATGGAGCAGTAAGGGGAGATGGGGACTTCCCAAAGTCTCATAAAAAGCATGCTTTGATGGCCTTACTGAAAACAAGAACCTTATTACGTTAACTTACCCACTGAAACTTCCTGTTAGCCATCTGGCCCAACACTGTTTATTAAATAATCGATGCTTTCCCCATTTAAACTATCACCCCTACCATGAATCTGACCCATATTTCAGCCAGTCTCTGGCTGCCCCTTCCTAACAGTCTTTGTTCCCGTGCCTTTCCTGACATGGCCCTCTCGTGGATTCCTGGATCCTGCATACCTGACAATTCTTTCAGTCTCCTTTGCCCCTCCCTTGAAGGCTGCTTTGCAGGGCTCTCCGGGAGGCTTGCCCTGGGTGATCTGCCTTCTCATGACTTCACCTCTCTGAGGATGAAATGCAAATTCTGGGTTGCCACCTGTGGTCGTGCAGGCTGGTCACTGCACAACAGTGTCAGGCCAAACGGACATATAGGGATGAAATCCATTCTGCTCTCTGCCTGCCAAGCCACGCACCCACAGAGCTCCCCAGATTCCTCTCTCCAGCCCAGGTGTCCCCTGAGTCACAGGCCCATCCATCCAAACCTATGCTAGCCGTCCCTCCTGGAATGTCCCCCAAGGAACCACACACTCGCCAGGGACTCCCCTCCCTTCTTCCACGGCCCGCCGCCCTCGCATCCCTCGCGCTCACTGCCCGGCTGCTGCACGCAAGGCAGAGAGCTTGGAGGGACACAAGGCAGAGAGCTTGGAGGGACACAAGGCACAGAGCTTGGAGGGACACAAGGCAGAGAGCTCGGAGGGACACAAGGCAGAGAGCTTGGAGGGACACAAGGCACAGAGCTTGGAGGGACACAAGGCAGAGAGCTCGGAGGGACCCGAGCGCTCTTCGTGCCCTGCCCTGAAACAGCCTGTCTGGCAGATTCTCCCTCCTCCCTGGCCACAGCTGTCCCCTTTACTGACCCCATTACTTCTCTTCTCATTTAGTCCGCCAGGCTCGTGCTGGCTGTCTCAAACCCTTCCCACTGCTGCCCGAGCAATCAGATCATGTCTCGCCGCCGCACTGTATCCTACCGCAGCTCCCCACTGCCCACAGGGCCAGGCCCCAACTCCTCAAAGTGCCCAGGGGGCCTTTACTGGGTCAGGCCCCTAACCCCCTCTCTTACTTTTCAGTTCCTTACCAAATACATCAGCCTCCTTGCTGCCTTGCCCTTGCTAATGCAGAGACCTCAGCAAGGAATCCCTGAGTCAAGCGTCCCCTCTTGGAAGGCTTATCTGATACCCAGATAAAGTTGATGACTCCCTTCCTTGAGCCCCCAGATTTCCGTGCGAACACCCACAACGCTTGTTGGTGTCTGTATTTCTCTGATTCCATTAGGACTTGGGTCTTTGAAGGCAGAGATGGCCTCCCTTTGGATTGTGTATCCCCACTGTCCAGCCGAGCACCAGGACAATCCCCATCCATAAAATCCTGAGTGGATTTGAAAATAAGCAGGTTAGCCAGAGCAAAGTAATACAAATGTAAATTGGACTTTAAACTAGTTATTTCTGTATGTGGTACAAACACAGGGACAGAATGCCTATTGTGCCCAAGCACAATCCCTCCAAACATGACACTTTGCTATCAGGAAGGCACTTCCCATTGGCAACCCTTTCCTCATCCTTCCCACCTGAGCTGAAGGGTACTTCCTCCTCCAGGAAGCCTCCCCTGACCTCCCAGGGTCTCACATGAACTTGCTCTCAAAACACCCTGGGCTTCTCCTTCACAGCCCTGCCCAGAATTATAATCAAATACATATTCATTTAAATCCTGTTTCCACTATAAGGAACAGCACTTTGAGAGCAGGGACTGATTCCTTTGTATCATTATATCCCGAGCATTCAACACTTTGCCGGGAAGATATTTGAGGCTCATAAGTGTCTGCTGAACGAACAATTCAATCAAACAAACAGGTAAAGAACTAATTAAACAACAAATGAATAAAACTGGCATGTGTCTAGAATGCAAGACCAAGGTGCCAGGCTTACCCTGAACACATTAGAGTAGGGCAAAGAAGAGAGCCGGGCCAGTCCTACTGCAGATGACAGTGAGGCCAGAGCAGGGTCTGCAGCCAGCAGGGGCACAGGCCTACCCCAGGCCACCCTGTTATCATACAGCCCGTGGCTCCTAAACTAACATCACCTTTTACATTGTTAAATGGTTGAAAAAGAAGACTGTTCCATGACATGCAAAAGTTATTTGAAATTCACATTTCAGTGTCATAAATAAAGCTTTATTGGCACATAGCTACACCCACTGGTTTATGTACTGTCCGTAACTTCTTTCACCTGAGAGTGGTAGAGTTGAATGGCTCTGACAGAAAACATATGAGCCCCAAGGTCTAAAAGGTTTAGTACCTGCCTTTTACAGAAAAAGTTTGCTGAAACCTTGCCTAGAGTCTCTTGAGATCGCTATGTCCCAGGACTCACAAAAGTCCTGACCCTGTGGTATATGCTGAAATCTGGGCCTCAGAAAGAAAGCTGCCAGACACTGTCTGTTATTGTAAAATGGGACTTAAATACCCTAAATAAAGAGGGGCTAGTTAAACTAATATCATACACTAACGATGGACTACTACACAGCTGTTTTTAAAAATGGGTTAGGCTGAACTGTACAAGTATAGAAAGATGTTCATAGTACATCGTAAAAGCAATTTCCAAAACAACACAGACAACTGTTCCAATTTAGTAGAAAGAATAATTGTATATACGTTTAGAAGGTGAGAAAATATGAGTATCTTGGAAAATGTGTGATAAATAGCTCTAGGGCATTGGACCAGGGATTTAAATTTTTTATTTTAAATACTTTTGCACTCAGTGAATTTTTTACTGAGAGTATGCTATTCTCTAATTTAAAACACACACACACAAATGCTGATTTTAGAAAGCAACTTGTACCCCCAGCATGGGTCCCAATTCTTGATGATCTCAGGGTCATATGGTCCAGTTTCTGCATTTGGGGGAGCTGCCCATAAACCACTTTGCTCTGAAACTTCAAAGTCTGATAACACTGCAAAGCTGCTCATATGTTTGTTTTGAGGAAGCTTAAGATTAGAATGGTCAGAAATAGTCCTACTTCCCTTTTCCTAGAAACCCTGGGTACCTATTCAACTAGAACACCCCTCCCGAGCGCGGGGAAGGCCACGTTGCCAGGGGATATGAATAAACTAACCGCCTGAGCGGCAGTTGCCAGCTGCTTTCTTTGCCACTCCCTCTAAACACAGCTGGCTCTCCAGCCACCAGGACCCCTCCGAGTGCGGGCTCATAATCATCAGCCCTATTAATGGTCCCGTGGGTGGGACGAGGTAGCAATAAGGCGAGGGAAATGAGAGGCCAAGCCTGAGCCCACAGGTAGATTCCCGGTTCTGCCTTGGCACACACGCCCGTGATTCCTACCAAACCTAAGTTTCTGCGTTTCTAACCTTTGTTCTCCTGTGGCAGTTTCCCTGGAGAGTCCTGGGGATCAAGAGGCAGAGTGTTAGCGGGTTCTACTCTGCCCTGCCGAAGACCGCAGGCCTGCAATGCCTCTCTGCTCACCTTGTTGTAACCTGCCACCCCTCCTTCACCCTGCAGTCAATATCCTGGGACCCTGGAGTCACCGCGAAGGCCCAGAAAGTCCATAATAACCGGGCATGGAGGCCCTGTCCTACTTCAACTCAGAAATGCACACAGAACCTGTGTTATCTGCTAGAATAAATCCTTAAGTCGCCCCAGCATTCCCCAAAGAACACGCCAGGCAGTGAGATCATTCAGGTACGAGCAAGATGTGTGGGCAGGTTAGGAAAGCTTCACACCTGCAATGCCTGTTTGGGAACTTCTGCGTCATTTAGTGCATCCAAACCCCAGGACAGCGTAGCATGCACAGTGTAACCTGCTCAACTAGATTTAAGCTAGCTGTTGACCACAGCCCCTTTCTCGAGCCCAACGTGGCAAACACGGTTCCACACCAGGAGGCTGGGTTCAGGAAACACGCCTGAGGGTCCGTGAGGGTCCGAGGATGACCCTAACCTTGAAGGGCAGGCTTCGAGATCCAGGCTCAGACCCCTGCCACCCAGCACTGTGGAGAAAGCAGCCTCTGAGGTCGATTTCTGAAGAAAAAGTCTAAAAGCCAGGAGGCGGGG